AATGTAGAGCATTATCTTTATAAGTAGTGTCATGCCAATTGAGCTAGACGTTCCCCGAGACCATGGTCCCCAGAGCCCTCTGTCCAGCAACTCAGTCCCTCGGGGAGTTTGGATGTGTCCATGGGGCCTCCATGACCTTTCCTTGTACAGGTTGTGTTAGTTTCCCCTGTATTGTGTACTGTCTCACCCTTCACCCAAGATATATGGTATATATATTTTACAATAAAAATTCTTTTGGAAAGCAAACATCAAATAACAACAACAAAATCATGCAGCTAGCATGGACTGGGCAGTACTGTGTGCTGGGTGCTGTGCTGACTTCTACATACAGCACCTCGCTGAGTCCTGGTAGCAACCTCATGAGGCTGGTTTGTGTCTCTAACTCACCAGGTTAAATAAGGGCTGGAGAGTGGCAGAGCTGGAATTCAAGCTCTGTCCAATTCAAAATTCATGCCCCCAGCCTCTGCACCCAACTGCCCCCCAAGAAACTCTGTGATACATGAGCAGCAAAGAAATAAATTTACAAATGAGGGACTGAGGTCTGCCCCGGCAGGCACCCTTGCAGACAGCCGCTGTCCCCCTCCTTTCATAGTTATTAGCGCAGTGATCATACTGGGGGACAGTCTGCACTGCAGGCGCTGGACCACCCGGACAGCATGGTCTGTCCATTGTTTCAGTGAAGCAGGGAGCTGGCCTGCCGAGTTACACACGTCTTCAGACGGCTAGGAAGCTCACACCTCCCCCCTTTTTTTTAACTAAATTTTTTATTTTGAGATAATCAAAGATTCATATGCAGTTGTAAGAAATAATACAGAGAGGCCCCGTGTACCCCTTACTCAGTTCCTCTCAGTGGAAACACCTTGCAGAACTGTGGTTGTTGGGAAGATGGTCTGCCGAGGCCCCTCAGCCTCTCACTCGGCGACCTAACAGGCCCAGAGAATTCCCCAATAATGGCGGCTAGGAACGGAGTCTCTCCCTCTCTTCCAGTTTCTTCTCCTTACGCGGAGCCCTGCTCTCTGTTCTGGGTGCACAGTAAACTTCCTCTCTGCTCATGCGTGCATGTTATACGCACCTGGCCAACATACTACTATATCTGTTCCCGGCAGGGAGGGAACGGAGTCTCTCAACGGCGGCACAAGAGGGGTGAGCGCAGACCACCAGCCCTGCGCTGGCTGTGGGCAGTGACCTGCTGGCCACGGGGGACCGGCGCCCACTTCCGAAGCTACCCTGGCTATCTCTTCTCTGTGAATAAAGTGTTGTTCCACCCAATGCCTGTGTGTAAGCCATGCCTTTGTTGGTGACCCTGGGCCTTGGCTCCACAGTAGTCAATATCATAACACTGATAACATAATATTTACATTGACACGCTTCAAGCGTCTTATTCAGATTTCCCCCAGTTTGACTTGCACATTTGGCGTGTGTGTGTGTCTGTGTATTAAGTTCCATACAATTCTACACTTGTGGCAGTTCCTGTATCCACCAGAATCAAGACCCTGAATAGCTCCAGCACTGCAGGGATCCCTTGTGCTGCCCTTTTACAAGCAACACCCCCTCCCGTGGCCCCCTGTCTCTAACCCCTAATCTATTGTCTATCTTTATCATTTTGTCACTTCAATAATGTTATGTAAATGGAATCATACAGCATGTAACCTTTGGAATTGACTTTTTCTACTCAGCATAATAATCTGGAGATTCATCTTATTCCTCATGTGTATCATTAATTCTTCCTTTTTATTGCTGAGTAATATTCCGTGGTGTGGATGAACCATTCACTGTTAAAGGATATCTGGGGTGTTCCCAGTTTTGGGTAATTATGAATACAGCTGCTGTGAACGTTTAACACCCCCCTTTTTTGGGCCACATATTACCAGGGACACCATCATACCCGGAGCACATCATAAGACCCCCAACTCACACAAAAGCCCCTGGAAAGCAAAGGGGGGCCGGGGATGGAAAGTGGGCTGTCTTTCTCAGTGTTACAATTTCCACGTGCCCTGGGGAAAACAGCTCTGGCTGGGACCTCTGCAGTGTGGACACGGCTGTCCTGAGTGCCTCCAGCGGGCCTGCGAGCTCCCAGCCCTGTGCCTGGCACACATTCAACAGACACCTGTAGCGGGATGCACTGATAAGGGGTAGAGAGTTGAGAGCATGGGTCTGGTTGGTCATTGCCAAAGAAAATAAGGTTAACCTCAGCTAACAGGAGAGCCATAGCGGCTGCCGTGGCTAGGCCAAGAGGCTGTGCTCTGCAGGGCTCAGCCTGGCTGGTTTTAGGGCCTTACCAGGTTGAAGGCTTCACACCCGATGACCTCTTCCCTCCTCTCTGCTTTTCTTGTCACTGTTTTCCTGGGTTTTGCAAACTGGGGAACAAACTTTCCAACTGAGTTCTGTAAACCAAATATGACAAGAACAAAGCAGCAATGATAATAAGGGAGGAATTAGGTCTTCCTTTCTTGTAGTTTCAAATGTGGCCCTTGCCTCCTCAGTCCCTGTCGGCCGGCAAGTTAGCAATTGTTGACAATGAAAAGAAACATAGAACTTGAGCTTAAGGGAAAGCAGTGTCTTTCCAACATACAGACGCTCACCTGGGAGAGAGGGAAGGGAGTTGGATCCTTTTCTGGCTCCCCAAGAAGCCTGGAGGGAACTTCTGTTTCTTCATCAGGGGAGCTGGGTGGAGAAAGACAAAACTGAGAAGGATCTGAGGCTCAGAGAACAAAGTCCAAAAGAAAAGTCGTGCTAAGATCTCCTAAAAAGGAGACCTGGAGCACTTGCTTAAAAAAGGAGAGCAGTGCCCTGGATAATATTCAACCACCAAGAAGGATGCAGAGTTCCACCTCTAGAATACAAGCTCCTGGGTCTGGGAAAACATTGACTTCAACCCTTATGACACCAGGAACTGGCTTCTAAAGTAAGAACAGGGATTCTCGTGTGGACTGATGCTCCAGCTCCCAATACAGCAAATTCTAGAGCTAGGAAGTAGATACAAGAAACCCTTGACACAAAAACCACGGTGTCTAAAAAAATGGGTAAATATGACACTAAAAGCACAAGCAACAAAGAAAAAATAGATACACTGAATTTTATTAAAATTCAAAACTTTTGTGCATCAAGAGACATTATCAACAAAGAGACAACCTACAGAATGGGAGAAAATATTTGAGACTCATATATCAAATAATGGTTTAATATTCCAGAATATTAAAGAGCCTCTAAAACAACAAAAAGACTAATCACCCAATTAAAAAATGGGCAAAGAACATGAATAGATATTTTTCCAAAGATGATATACAAATGGCCAATACACACATGAAAAATGTTGTTGTTGTGTGCCGTCGAGTCGATTCTGACTCGTAGTGACTGTATAGGGCAGAGCAGAACTGCCCCATAGGGTTTCCTAGGCTGTAATCTTTAGGCGAGCAGATCACCAGGTCTTTTCCCTCACGGAGCCCCTGGTGGGTTAGAACCGCTAACCTTTCGGTTAGCAGCCCAGCACTTAATGCAAATCAAAATCACAGTGAAATACCACTTCACACCCACTAGGTTGCCTATTATAAAACACACACACACAGAAACAGAAAACCACAAGTGTTGGTGAGGATGGGAAGAAACCGGAATTCTTATCCATTGCTGGTGGGAATGTAAAATGGTACAGCCATTGTGGAAAAGCTTGGCTGTTCCTCAAAAAGTTAAACATAGAATTACCACATATGCCCAGGAGTTCCATTCTAGGTATATACCCCAAAGAATTGAAAGCAAGGACTCAAAACAGATGCTTGTGCTTCAATGTTCATAGCAACATTATTTGCATTAGCCCAAGGGTAGAAACAACCCAAGTGCCCATCAACCGGTGAATGGGTAAACAAAGTGTGGTATAGACATACAATGGTATATTATTCAGGCATGAAGAGATGCTACAGCATGGATGAACCTTAAAAACATTATATTGAGGGAAATATATCAGATGCATAAGGACAAAGAGTCTATGATCCAACTTATATGCAATATCTAGAACAGGCAGATGCATAGAGACAAAAGTTAATTAGTGGTCTGCCAACCCAGAAGCATATTGCTCAAAGGGAAAATCACACAAGAGTGGCTTCTTGAGGCTGATCTTGACTGAAAGAAACCTAGAGAACGAGGAAGAGGAAAGAAACAAGAGTCAGAAAAGGCTCTGTCCCACGAATTTGTTTCTGAGCTACATACTATCTTCATTTTGGAGCAAAGAAAGGAGTCCTGGACTGTGGAGAGAAAGGTGAAAACAGAAACAACAAAAAACCAACAACATATATCTCCTCCACACTTTTGACCAAGAACTTATCACCAAAACAGGATATTAATAAAAATGAATTAATCCAAACAATAATGTTGGTGGGGGGAGTAGATTAGTGGTTACCGGGGGCTGGGGAGAGGGGACTAGGAAGGAAGGTAGGAATGAATTAAGAAATTAAGGAAGGAAGAAAACAAAGTAAAGAAATAAAAACAAAACAAAAGAGCAAGTATTACCAAAAATTTGTATACAGAAAGATGTGGACACATCTTAATGAAGCTGATAGGAAGTGACAAGGGCTTAAAACAAAAAACAAACAAAAAAGTAACCATGGGCTTTTATTCAGAGACATGGGTTATAGGACTTACTGACATAACCACCGCGCTACCAAACCAAAAAACCAAACCTGTTGCTGTCTAGTTGATTCCTACTCATAGCGACCCTACAGGACCCTACAGGACAGAGAACTGCCCCCTTAGGGTTTTCAAGGAGAGGCTAGTGGATTCGAACTGCCGACCTTCTTTTGGTTAGCAGCCAAGCTCTTCACCACTGTGCCACCTGGACTCCTTAAATGAATACCAGGCATAATTTGGTTTTGAGTTTGGCCAGTTGTTTTGCACCCTCAAGTTAACATCAGTCCGAAGGCCAAAGGGCAAGTCCTATGCAATGGTGTCCCTCTGGATTTTCCTGGGTTTGGGGCCAGCCCAGAGGGTTTAGTCTAAGTTGGGGTCATTCCTGGTCTGGAAGATGATTCTGAGGCAATTCTGGGATTGAAGTAAGAGCCATGATGGCCTGGCAGTACCCTAGATTGAAATTTCTACCTGAACTCCAGCGCTGCATTGTCCAATTGCCACTAGTCTTGAAATGGGACTACTACAAATTGAGATGTTCTGTGTGTCAAATACATACTTGATTTTGAAGGCTTGGGACAAAAAAAAAAGGATGTAAAATATCGCAGTAATAACGTCTTATATTGGTTACATCTTGAAAAATAATATTTTGGAAATATTGGGTTAAATAAATAAATATTTTAATAAAAAAATTTAAAAAACTGGTAACAATTCTGGTTCTATCTAAATAAATGTATGTATATCGCAAGGAGCCCTGGTGGTGCAATGGTTAAGCGTTCGGCTGCTAACCAAAAGGTCGGCAATTCAAACTCACTAGTGGCTTTGTGGGAGAAAAGACCTGGCTATCTGTTCCCACAAAGATTACACCCAAGAAAATCCTGTGGGGCAGTTTTACTCTGTCCTATAAGGGTCGCTATGAGTAGGAATTGATAGCACACAACATCAACACGTATACTGTGAAAAAAAGATCAGACTATTTCAATTCTGGAGATTGGGAGGAAAAGTTACAAGAAGGCATGAAAATATGCTAATGGACTTTGATTGTTCCAGGGGAGGTTATAGAGGCAGAGAAAGTCGATATTGATAGGAAGCTGTCTGTTAGAAAATTTAAGATAAATTGTGATGAGTCGTGCAGACGGCTTTGGGGGTGCTGGCAATATTTCATTTCTCAACATAAATATTTTGAACTTTGTTTGCTCTATGTTACATTTTTCTGTGTGTTATGGTTCTGTGAGGAGCCCTGGTGGTGCAGTGGTTAAAGTGCTCAGCTGATAACCAAAAGGTCGGCAGGTTCGAACCCACCAGCTGCTCCACAGGAGAAAGACGTGGCAATCTGCTTCTGTAAAGATGTACAGCCTTGGAAATGCTATGGCATAGTATTACTCTGTCCTCTAGGGTCACTATGAGTCAGAATCGAGTTGATGGCAGTGGATTTGTTTTTTGGTTTTATGGTTCTGTACATATGATATTTCATAATAAAATATTTAAAAACAAACAAAAAAGGGGAGACACACAGAGCAGCCACCTTTCTTGTGGACTCAGAGGGGAGTAGCCCTGGCCCTGTGGCCTCTCGAGAACTGGCATCAGGAGTGGCCAGGAGCAGGGACATCATCTTGTCTGTCTGGGGGGATGGCTGAGGTGTGAGGCTTTCTTCTCCTCAGCCTCTCTCCTCATATCACTCACCATAGGGCTGTCTGGGACCTGGGGGTCAGTATTTGTGGCCTCCTGATCCAGCCTTTAGTCCTAAGACTGCAGTGACCCGAAATCAGATAGACAGACAGACACAGACACACCAGAAAACAGTTTTACCTCAAGATTTTATTCAGAAAATGTGGTCATTCAATCCATGATACCTTCCTTGAAGACATCGGCTAGAAGGATACTTTCTTCCCCAACTACCCTTAACCTTTTCTACTTCGCAATAGTTACATGGGGTTTAACCCCACGGACAGACTAAACCGTTCTTGAGGTGTTTTTTCTCACCATGCTTAATTACATATTTGCTGAAAGAATTAAAGAACCAGGAAACAACAATGTCAGGAGCACAGGAGCTGGATGTGGGTGGAGGTAGGCTTGAATGCCAGTCCTGGCCCACACTAGCTCAGGGACCTTGGGCACGTCACTTACTCTAAGCCCAGGGCGCTCATCTGTGAACTGGGGATAAATAAAAACAATTCTCTCACACAGCCATGAGTACAACATGAGCTTACGTATGTAAAGTGCTATGTGTATTAGCACACTGCATGGCACATACTGATCATTATTATCTTCTTAAAAAAATTGTGGTGAAGATATATACATATACCAAAACATTTAGTAATTGAATATTTATTACATGTAGCATTCAGTGACGCTGATTACGTTCATCATGTTGTCAACCATTGCCAGTATCCTTTTCCAAACTATTCCACCCTTGTTAACAGAAACGCAGTGCCCCCTCAGCAAAAACTCTCCCCTTCTCCGTCCCTCCTACTCCTGGTAAGCTTTGGTCTCTACACACTTGCCTATATGATATAAGTGGGATCTTACAATATTTGTCTTTTTGTGACTGACTTTTTTCACTCAGCAAGATGTTTCAAGGTTTCGGACTCTTCTTAATTGAGGAGAAGGAATGTGGAATACAGGATTTGACCAGCAGACAGGACATTAAGTTACATTCTGTAAACAAGTGACCTTGAACAACTCAATGTTTTCCTTGCTCAGGGTTAAAATATTGACCTTTCTTGCCACAGAGGAGAGTGTCCCGGGAGGAAAGGAAAGCTGCGAGAAGCCCCATCTGAGGGGCCCTGAGCCCTCAGGGGAGATAGCATTGCAAGGGGTCATACTGGTTCCTTTCCCCCCATCCTGCTTGCTGGAATGTTCCGAGCCACCTACCTGGGGGCTGCCGGTCTCGGTTCCTCTTCACTGTGCTCTGCAGGGGGAATGGATCCCACCTTGCCTTCTGACTCTTCAGGGGCAGGCAAACGGCCCAACTCAGGACTCTGAGGGGCCCTGTCGGAGTCGCCCAGCCTTGGTTTCTTCGGGAGTTTCAGAGAATAGACTCTTTCTCCTCCTGGTTTAGAGACACAGAGAGATTGAAGGGGTGATGGATGCTGGGAGAGTGTACACTGCCACGGCTGATGACCAGATGCAGCCAGACCATTGGTGCAACCTGGGCAAGCTTGTTCCAAGAGGCAGTCAGGATACCCTCTTCTGACCCTCTCCCAGTGGCAGGCGGTGGGGCGGTGGGGAGACTTGTTTCCAGGAGGTGGGACCTATGAGCTTACGAGGTCATAGACTTCAAGGGGCTTTTACGCATGGACTGGTCATTATTGAGGCTGAATGCCGGAGATGGCCTGGCCTCAAACCCCATGGGGCCACCTGGCCCAGCTGACTCACTCTCTGGGGAAGTGGTGAGGGGTGTGCAGCTAGCTCCTTTGGGTCTCAGCTCTAATGTCCCTGCAGAGGGGGACATCCCTGACTTCTCTCTAGAACGTCCTCCTTGTGGCACACAACTCTGTTCTACTCCCTTCACAGCTTCTCTGCAATTATCTAACACTTTAGGTCATTTTCTGTTCCCATCCACTACAACCAGGCTCCGTGCCAGGAGGGGTCCTGTCTATTTCGTTGTCTATGTCCTGCGTGCCTAGAAGAGCATCTAGTATACTGTCAGTGCTCAGTAAACACTTGGTGGATGACTGAAGGAGTCTCTGAGTGTTGCAAACCATTAACACGCTCGACTGCTGACTGAAAGGCTGGAGTTTCGAGTCTACCTAGAGTGCCTCAGAAGAAAGCCCTGGCGATCTATGTCCAAAAAATCAGCCACTGAAAACCCTATGGAGCACAGTTCTACTCTGACACACATGAGGTCACCATGAATCGGAGTCGACTCAACAGCAACTGGTGGTGGTTGTCTCAGGCTGGGTTCTCTAGAGAAGCAAAACCAGTGCAGCGTATAAACACAGAGAGAGAAAGATTTACATCAAAGAAATGGCTCACGTGGTTGTAGAGGCTGGAAAATCCCAAGTCCATGGGTCAGGTATCAGGCTGGAGGTTTCTCCTGACTCATGTAGCTGCAGCGGCTGATGAACACAAGATCCACAGGTCAGACAACAGGCTGCTGGCCCAGGTCCCAAGAACTGGAGGTCAGATGCTGATGAGCTGAATGCAGGATCCAGAGCAGAGCAAAAGCCGATGCGCTCTGCCAGGAAGTCCACATATATTGGATGCAGGCCACACCCCGAAGGAAACTCCCTTTCAACTGATTAGTCACTTACAGCAGATTCCATCACGGAGCTGATCCCATTATATCAGATCTCATCATGGAAGTGATTACATCATTACAGGACTGCCAAACTACATAACTGCCAAACCACTGAGAATCATGGCCCAGCCAAGTTGACACACAACCTTAATGATCACAGTAGTGGATGACGGAATAAATGCACATCGAAAAGGCAGATCACTGAGGCACAGATGAGCAGAAATTATGCACTGCTCTAGTTTCTGTGACACCTGCAGAATACCCATCCTGGAAAAACTGGGACCCATAGTGACCGTGTGCTCGGGAGGTGCTGCCTCCTGGCCCCTTGGCCCCTTGCATCTTTTCAGTACCTTCCCCTCACTGAAAACAATTCACTTGTGTCTTTTCCTTGTACTTTAGAGCCTAAAGGTGCTTATTAACAACTATTTGCTGAATAAAGTAAACACAGAAACTGTCAAGATCTCCCCAAACCTGGCCCCAACCTACTCATTTATTCAACAAACAAACAAGTGATAAGGGATAACACTAGTGAGTTCCATGCCAGAGGCTGTCCTAAGAACTTAGGCATTAGCTCACTCCATCCAGGAAACAAAGCATTGAGGTAGGGCACCACTGTTATCCCATCTTACAGGCAAAAACACTGAGTCACACAGAGGCAAAGGAACAGTGGTGATGGAGCCGGGACTGAGACCCAGGCAGTTTGACTTCAGGGTCTGCACGTTTAACCACTGCTAAACGTATCTGGACATTTATTGAGCACCTATTATGCACTGGGAAACCCTGGTGGCATAGTAGTTAAGAGCTACATCTGCTAGCCAAAAGGTCAGTTGTTCGAATCCACCAGGCACTCCTTGGAAACCCTCAGGGGCAGTTCTCCTCTGTCATACACGGTCACTGTGAGTCGGAATCAACTTGACAGCACACAACAATGACCTGACTCGGCTCATCTAGTTTGTCTGTTTGCTCTCACTGCCAGGCCAGAAGCCCAGTGCACAGTAAAAAAAAAAAAAAAAAAAAAAAAAAAAAAAAAAAAAAAACCCATTGCCATCAAGTTGATTCCGACTCATAGAGACCCTACAGGACAGAGCAGAACTGCCCTGTAGCATTTGCTAGGCTGTAATCTTTACAGGAGCAGATTGCCAGGTCTTTTCTCCCACAGAGCTGCTGGTGAGTTCAAATCACCGACCTTTCGGCTAGCAGCGCAGTACTTAACCACTGAGCCAGCAGGGCTCCTTTTCAGTCTGGTAGACCCTACCTTTCCAACCTTACCTCCTTACATACCTTGAAATAAACCTGGTGAATGAGCCCCTCAACACCAGCTGTGAGGGTCCTTCTCAGTCCTCACTCAGCTGTTGACTGAGTCCAGGGCGACTTTCCTCCAACTTCAGATACGGTCAGTCACATTCATGTGTACCCACCTAGAACTTTACCCCACTGCTGTGTAGCTGACTAGCTCTCTGTAAGAAGTATTTTTCTTCCCCTCACCCAATTCGAACTAGAGGGTCTCAAGGGCAGGAACCCAGCCTGCTGCATGCTTTGATCTGCCCCCCACCCCATCCTCAGCCTGGTGCTTACCCCAGCGCGCGCCCAGAGGAAGGCACCACTGAGTGTTTCTCACAAAATACAGCAGCTTCGCTTATTTGGTTTCTTAAGATTCACAAACACTAGCTCTCTTTGCTAATCCAATGGTCATTTGTACCAAATAAAAAGCAAAAACATCAAGAAAAATGAAGAGCCTCCCATTTCCTTCCTGTGATGTGTCCCCACAAGACTAATTTAAGAATGACTGCATTTTAAAGGCAGAGCCTTATTTCAACACCAAAGGCCAAAAACCTCAGGAGGGAAAAGGCCTCTTTCACCACCTGCCAGAATCTTCTTCCTCTTTCTCCACCCTGTCCAGGACACACAGAAACAGCTGTCCTTGGCCAGCCCGCGGATCCACTGAGCTGAGAAGTCCACTGCCAAGACAGGCCCCAAGTGACCTGCTATGGGTGGGCCTGATATGCGCAGCTCCCTCCTCAAGGTCAGAGAAATCCCTGTGCCTCCCAGCAGCCTGCTGCTCATCTCTTTTTGCGAAACATCCTCAATCTGTTGATAATTTCACTTTTGTCCAACATCCTGGGAAAAACAAGCGCCATTCCCTAAATTCATTACCCACTAAGTGTCAAAAAATGACGAGTTTTGTATTATGAAAACATAAAAAAATTCTCTTGCCCATGACACTAAAGGTCATCTTGTTAAATGTTGTTAAAAATCTATGCAGTGTAATGAACAAATAATCTTTTAGCTATGTTGTTTGTTGTTAGATGCCGTCAAGTGGGTTCTGACTCATAGCGACCCCACGTACAACAGAACGAAACACTGCCTGGTCCTGTGCCATCCTCACAATCACTGCTATGTTTCAGCACACTGCTGCAGCCACTGTGTCAATCCATCTCGTCAAGGGTCTTCCTCTTTTTCACTGACTCTGTGCCTTACCAAGCATGATCTCCTTCTCCAGGGACTGGTCCCTCCTGATAACATGTCCAAAGTATGCGAGACAAAGTCTTGCCATCCTCATTTTCCAGGAGCACTCTGGCTGTACTTCTCCCAAGCAGGTTTGTTCGTTCTTCTGGCAGGACGTGGTATATTCAATATTCTCTGCCAACACCACAGTTCAAAGGC